GGGCGCCGGGTGGGTGGGGGGAAGGGCCCCCGCGCCCCCCCCCCCGTCCCCTGGAAGGGGGCTGGGGAGTGGCTAGAATAGTGAGCACCAAAAAGCGGTGACGTTGTGCCGAGACCCCGCCCCTTTCCTTGGAGCGCGGAGACTCGGGCTATGGAAGCTCCGGCCAATCAGAGGGAAGGCCCAAGGATGACATGGTAACTGTTCTACCCTTCTTTAGTTCAAGTCTGCGGGTAATGATGGGAAGGCTCTCAGGCCACCCAGCTGGCACTTTCGGAGCTTGAAAACCCTTTTGGGATACCTATCAATCCATGTGGCTTATCAGCAGCCCCTCAGAGACCCTCAGTCCCCACTGTTGTTCTTGCCGGTCCAAGCAAGTCTTCTCACATCCTTTCCTCTGAATCTCTAAGGTAGATCTGAGCAATGGTCTATTATAAGGCTTGATCCCAATGAGGGTTCTGCTTCAGCTGCAGCTTCAGAACCTGTGCTGTTCTGGATGGATTGGGTGCAAATGTACTGCCTTCTCCAGGACGCATTTGCTAACCTCAACAAGTTGGGGTGATGCCTGGGCGGTCCTCTTATCAGGACTTGTTACTTTGTATCTTATTTTTCTATTCTTAGACTCCTCCCTCCCCTGGTGTTGGTCAAAGTTGCGTTTTCATCCTTTTGGTGTCTGTTTCCTCCTGGGATCTAGCTAAGAGCAGAGGAGTGGGCATGTTCTAGAAATCAGACCTGTCTCGTTATTGAGGTCTCACAGAGGAGCAGGACTGTGCTCAGAAAACAAGCGTGCATACTACCTTTCCACCACCACCAGGGACAGCAGTAGACAACTGAAACGATATTTGCTAAGAATTTTAAATGAATCCCTCAGTGTTTTTGGAAGTAAAGGGAATTAGAAACATCTTAAAGATGAAGTGGTTTTGGGGTGGGTAGGGGCTGTAGCTCAGTTGATAGAGTGCTTGCCTGCCATGTGCAAAGCCCTGTATTCAATTCCCAGCACCACATAAACTGGATTTAGTGGTGCACACCTATAATCCCAGCATTTCAGAGGTGGAGGTAGGAGGATCAAATGGCGGCAAGATCGCTCAGGTAAACACACTTCTTGCCAAGCCTGGTGACCATAGTTCCCATCCTTGGGCCTTACATAGTGAAAGGAAAGAATCAACTCCGAAAATTGTCTTCTGACATCCATACATAGCACAAACACACACACACATATATGCACTCATACAAAATAAACAAATGCAATACAGTTTTTTAAATGAAGTAGTGTGAAGATGAAATAAGATAGTAAGTGGAAGAAGTGTGATACATTGTATGTGTTCAGTATATACTTGGAAGAAAAGTTAATGTATAGATTGCCTGACAGGAAGCTAGTTTGAGCATCCATCTGCAGCCACCTTCCCTGATCTAATCCCCTCTGTCCAAATAGCCCTGCTTTTCGACCAACGGTCCTTGCCTTTGCTCTGAATCAGAATGTCATTAGCAGGTAGGGTGTAATGCCAGCCTGGTATAAATGAAACTGTCTCAAGAACAAAACAGGTGACAACAATCATTAGGGTTCTTTCTATTTATGGGTTTTTTGGTTTGGTTTGGTTTGGTTTTATTTTTTATTTTTTGAAAAAGGGTTTCTCCGTGTAACCCTGTCTGTCCTAGAACTCACTCTGTAGAGTGATCAGGCTGGCTTCAACTCAGAGATCCACCCTCCTCTGCCTCCAGAGTGCTGGGATTAAAGCCACAAGCCACCAGTGCCCAGCTGCTGCTGCTGCTGCTGCTGCTGCTGCTTTCTTCTTCTTCCTTCTTCCTCCTCTTCTTCCTTCTTCTGTCTTCATTCTTTATTCTTCCTCATCCTCTACCTTCTTCCTTCCTCCTCCTCCTCTTCTGATGTTCATTACAGTAGCTTTCTCAACACCATCCCAAACCTCTGATTTTTTGGTGCTTCAGTCTGCAAATATAACTACATTTTAAGCCTGCCTATGAACATTTAGTGTCCATAAAGCCTGGCACACATTGAATATGCTTTACATTTACATATTTAATGCATAGATGAGTGAATTATTGTTTTACCTGGGAAATGATAGAATTGAAGACTTCAGAATCAGAGAACCCCAAGTTTAGATCTAGACCTAACTATAGTCATATGGAAATAATTCCCACTGCCTCTGAACTTCAGTTTTCATGTCTGTAAATTAAGGATAATTTTGCTTGACTTACAAAACTATTGGGAAAATTAAATGAGAGGAATATGACATTTGCTATAGTACCTGGTAAACAGTATATCCTCAATAAATGGTAGATATATTTTTATTCCTTAAAAATGGGGCTTCCCACTGGGCGGCAGGCAGATCTGTGTGAGTTCGAGTCCAGCCTGGTCTACTAAGGGAGTTCCAGAACAGCCTCCAAAGCTACTGAGAAACCCTGTCTTGGAAAACAAAACAAAACAACAACAACAACAATGGGACTTCCCATTTTAAGTAGTTTTTAAAGCATAAATTCTGACAGAGAAAGAGGCTCAGAAATGTTTCTTAAGTGAATCAGCATATGAGTATATTCACTTGAAAGTGCTAGTAGGTTTTCAGAAACTGGACTCCTTAAATGGTATGTACTTGTAGGAAGAGTGGGGAGGATACATTGAAAGAGAAATGCTTCTGTGAAGAATTTCTGGGGACCACGGTGACTTTCCTTATTAAGTATTATTCTGGTGAGCATATAAGCCGTAGTTTATAATCCCCTTGAGCCCTGATTAGGAAGAACAACTTTGTTTGGAGGCAGCCCCCTCCCTAGTCTAATTATCATAACAACCCCTTGGAGTTACTATCATCTTCCTTCATCCACTCTAAAAGCAAGAAATTGGGGGCATACTCACAAGGACTTTCCAAACCAAGGTAGTGGGAGCCCAGAGCTGCCCATAGTCCTATGCTATATTGTTTGGTTCTATCTTAGGAGCCTGTGTTCTTTCACACACTTGACTTGAGAGATTTCTATGCAGCTATGAAAGATTATTGCTCAGAGAAGAGACTGTCCTGTAAAAACAGTGGAATCATGAAAGGGTAATGGTTTGGGACTGATGGTTCTAAATTTCTTTATGTTGCAATGTAATGCACAGCAGAGCTGGAGTCAAACAGAGTGAAGTCCATATCTCAGATCTGCTAGTGTTCAGACCGTGACAAATTGCTGTGGCCTGTCGAAGTTCCCTTATTATGAAATGGGCACAATACTTTGTAATTAATAAGGTGATTGTGAAGATCAAATTAGGTAATAGAATTGCAAAATTATGAGGTCATGCTAGGCCCAAAATAAATACCAATAAGTGTTGATTCCCTCCCTCTTCTACAATTTGATAGGGAAGGATGAGGTTTGTAAGTAACACCTAATTGGATTTTTAGAGATTCCATGTGAAAATCAGGTGGTGAGTTCAAGGCTAGACTGGTCTAGTGATCCAGTTTCAGGACAGCCTCCAAAGGTACAGAGAAACCCTGCTTGAAAAACCAAAATAAGCCTGGGGTTGGTGGCTCATGCCTTTATTCCCAGCACTCGGGAGGTAGAGACAGGCAGATATCTGTGAGTTCAAGATCAGCCTGGTCTACAAGAGCTAGTTCCAGGACAGCCTCCAAAGCCACAGAGAAAACCTGTTTCAACCCCCCCAAAAAAAATAAATAAAAATTCCATGTGGATACCTTTGATGTTTGAGTATAGCATTTATCCCATTGCATTTAAAGAATTTATTGGCATACTCAGGGTTTTACATAACACAGTATTTTATGCTTTTTTCCTGCTTATCCAACCTATTCCACGTCTGTTTCTCTTTTATTTTTAATTTTACTTTATTCATTTTGTGTGCATGTATGTATGTGCATGCATTGTCTTGGGGAGCAGAAGAGAACATTGGATCCCCTGGAACTGGAGGTATGGGTGGTGTGAGCCACCATATTGGTTCTGGGAATCGAATCTGGGTCCTTGGGAAGAACAACAAGTGCTCTTAACTGCTCAGCCATCTCTGCAGCTCCTCACTTTTATTTTAGTTTTGTAGTAGTACCTTCTTTTTATTTAGTCCCAGTTTTTGACTAGATTTTTGTTTGTTTGTTTTGGGGAGCTTTTTTGTTTTATTTTTTTAGAGACGGTGTTTCTCTGTATAACATTTCTGGCTGCCTGGGACTTTGTAAACCAGGCTGGTCTCGAACTCACAGAGATCTGCCTGCCTCTGCCTCCCAAGTGCTAGGATCAGAGGTGCATGCCACCACAGGCCAGCTCTAAACTCTTGTTACAGCCCCCTAAAAAGAATCCCTGGGCTGGAAAGATGGCTCAGCGGTTAAGAGCACTGACTGCTCTTCCACAGGTCCTGAGTTCAATTCCCAGCAACCACATGGTGGCTCACAACCATCCGTTATGAGATCTGGTGCCCTCTTCTGGTGTGCAGATATACATGGAAGCAGAATGTTGTATACAAATAATTAAATAAAATCTTAAAAAAAAAAGAATCCCTATAACCTTGAGTAATTACTATTTACCTTTGAATTCAAGCCCTAGGAAATACTAATTAATCCCTTTCTTACATAGTGCCAGTAACAAAATAAAAATAAATAAATCTAAACAAAAATTAAACAAATAAATCTAAACAAAATAAATAAATCTAATTTTTTTTTACTCACTATATAGTATAAGCGCCCATGCTTACTTATTAGGCCAAGGTCACCTGAGAAACACAAAATAGGCTGAAAGCTTCACTGCCTCTCAGGAACTGGAATGCATATTGTACCCCAGGAGCCATGGACTCTAAATGCCTCTCAAGGCAGCTAGACCAAGCCAACTCCATGGTTCCCTTCAATTCCTCCTTTTTTTATTTTTTAATTTTAGGGTATGTAAACCAATATTTAAAACAGACATGGAGTAGCAAATCCATCTCAAGACTATTAATGCTTCCCAGTGTAACCAGCAAAAAACTTTCCTGTGACATTCCTATGAACTGTATTCCAATTAGATTCAGAAAAATAATGACCAAAAATCTTGGCCAGGTTTTCTGCAGCAGTGGAAGAGGATAATTCATCTAATTTTGAATGTTGAATGGGTTAATATTTTATCATGCAAGGAGGCCTAAACATCAATACTTTAATTGTCATGTGACCATTTCTGCTTGGGAGCAATATGAGTAGCAGTGGGGCACCCAAGATCTCAGAGTCATAGACATAAACAAGAATAT